ATGGGGACAGTAAGGAGAAATGAGAGAGACAATTGAGAAGGTAGAAGGAGCTAGATCTCAATCATAGGACCTGTATATCCTTGCTCTCAGTATGGTCCACATTATCCTAAGTTATTTTAACTGCAGTACAGAGTTGATTAGGAAATGCCAACCCTTTGGTGCTTGTCAATGAGTAAGTCTTCACTGATCCTGAGCGAAATGCAAACAACCAATTCTGTGTGGTGCGTTTTTCAGAAAACTAGGCTTATTTAGTGCCTTCTCTTTATTCTGATTCTTCCTTTTCACTAGTTTTCATAAAGTGATAGTGATGTTAGATAAGAGTATAATTTTTAGGTGTCTTTACTTGAAAAAAAAATTGGAAACCCAATATATTGCTCCCTAAATTTGAAAAGGAGTCATTGGTTTATGAAATTGGAAACCTTTGGAATGGCTATTGCCTGGGCTACTGAGAGAGAGTTTAGAAGCAAAGACAACCTCAGTAGCAAGAGCACACCTAGTGCCCAGATCTTGGTTTCTAATATCATTCTCTCTCAAAGAAAAAAATAAAAGAGTTGGGAGAGGGGCAAGGGCTCCTTGGAGAAATGTTTGATTCTAGAACCAGGGCATGAGATATACAGAAAATGAGAAGAGACTGGAATATCTTATAGTGCCAGAAAGTAAGGAACTGTTCAATAAAACTGCAATGATGGGACTATGTCAAAGGGATACAGGAGCAAACTGAAAGAGCTCCCTATGGCCAATGCTGGAAAAAAATGAGCAATTATAAATAAAATAACATTGCATTCTAACCTAAATTAGAAAGTATTCTTGAGTTCATACTAATATAAATAAATTATTGGATAAATAAAATAATGAGGAAGAAGAAATTAATCTCTTGTGCAGGAAATTTCCAAATAATTTATGTAGATAGTCCATCCTCAAGGAAGCAGAGCATAACTCCCCTGTGTTTAAGTGCATATACTGACTTCTATCCAAAAGTTACAGTATAGAAAAGAGTTATTTTACAATGGAGAAACCTGGCAAACACCAACACAGCCAGGTGCTCAAGGTTTACACAACAGTTTTAGATCATGTTGATAGTATGTACCCTTGATTTCATATGTTGAGACAGGCACTGTACTTCTATGGTCTTCCTTCCTAAAACGCATAGCTTCCATGTAATCAAAAGAAAATGTCAGAGAAATACCACTCAAGGGATATTCTACACAATATCTGAGCAGTACTCCTCAAAATTAACAGAATTCTCAAGAACAAGAAAAGGCTAAAAAACTGTCATAGCCAAGAAGAGCCTAAGGACACACAAAGACTAAATGTAGTGTGGTATACTGGGTGGGATGCTGGAAGATATGAGGACATTGGGTAAAAACTAAGAAAATCTGAATCAAATATGAACTTCCACTCATATCAATGTTGTTTCATTAATTGTTACAAATGTACCATACTAATATCAGATGTCAACAATAGGGGAAACTTGTGTGAGGTGTCTAGGAACTCTTTGTACTAGCTTCACAATTATTTTTGTAGATTTAAAACTATTTAAACTATTCTGAAATTAAAAGTTTATTTTATTTTATTTTATTTTATTTTTTTTAGTTGGAGTCTCACTCTGTCGACCAGACTGGAGTGCAGTGGCTGCTCCAGGCCACCGTAGCCTCGACCTGCTGGGCTCCGGCGATCCTTCAGCCTCAGCCTTCCAAGTAGCCAGAATTATAGGCATGCGCTACTATGCCCGGCTGATTTTTTGATTTATTGTAGAGATGAGGTCTCGCTGCCCAGGCGGGTCTCGAACCCGGGTTTTCAGGCAATCCACTCACCTCAGCCTCCCAAAGGCGCGGGATTACAGGCTGAGCCACCGAGCTCGGCTTAAAAGTTTATTTTTAAAAAGTAAATGTTCTTCTAGATATTGAAGGGGATTATTAGATACTTCAAGTTTGGTGACTTAAACTTTTTTTTTTTTGGTGTGAATGACCCTCCCATTCCTTAGTAAAAGCTGATTTACTTGCATGTTATTAACATTATTGTCCTTACAAAATTATTCTTCCCTAGAGCAATTGATCTTGCTTTGGGCACTAGCTGAAGGTCTAGAGGCAATAAAACTCATGATTCTTTGATCTGGAAATCAATATGATTCAATTCTGTTTAAGCCAATGCACACCTATAGACCCTAACTGTGTTCAGGCACTGTGCTGGGCCCCAAGTCATCTGCTTTAACCCAGCTCTCTATCCTCAGCAGTCAGCTTGTCTTTTGTGGGCCCACATTAGCATGTGAATATTTGATAGTGACCTGGCCTTTATAAAAACATACAGTTTTACAGAGGACTCCTTCTCAGGACAGAGTATTTTTGCTCAAAGGAATGGATTTATTTTGTTTGAACCAGGGAAGCAGATATAAAGAAAGAGCATTTCTGGGCAGAAGGATCCTTTGTACCACCTGAAAATGTCATCGTGTGACTTTTCATCTGCCTCTTTTGAAAACTGACTTTGGTGGGCTGAACTGTAAGTCTGAACTGGGGTGGTCTCTGGCATTTTTCCAAGTTATCTTTGTTCGGTGGAGAATAAAGAGAATTTAACTAAGAAGGAGATTTCTAGACTAGGTGCTACCTTAGCTATCTGTGACATTCAACTTCTTTTATTTATTCTGGGAACAAAGAGTTTAGAGGAGCTTATTCTGGATCCTTCTGAACCTTACATTTTCTAACTGTAGGAGCTGGACCAGTAGGTCTTTGTTGAGGTAGCTGTCTGCATCACTGAGGCAGCAGTTCTCAAAGTTCTCTGGTGGTTCTCTTTCTTCTTATCATTGCCAGAAGACTCAAGATTGATTCCCTGAAGCTGACGCAAGAGTCATAGTTGTTTTCCTTTTTTCACCCTTGTCTTGGTTTGGCAGGTGACAGATTTCGAGCAGGTGAAATACTTTATATCCCTATATTGTCATTTGCAAGCAAGCATCATGGTGTAGGGAAAAGGCATAGGCTTTGCAGTCAAGGGACCACCCCAGTTCAGACTTACAATTCAGCCCACCAAAGTCAGTCTTCAAAAGAGGCAGGTGGACAGCCACACAATGACATTTTCAGGTGGTGCAAAGGATCTTTCTAGTCACCTAGAATTGAATTCTACCTTTACCATTTAATTAGACCTGTGACCTCAGAAAGTGATTTAACTCCTCTAAAAATCCAATTTTCTAATTTATAAAAATGGCAGTAATAATTCTTACCTCTCGGGGTAAGTGCAGAGATTAAAAGGGGCAAAATGAAATGACTATCACTTGGTAGGTGCTCAGTAAATGTTTCCCTCTCTCCCTTCCTTATGTAATGATGGAAGTTGTACCTTCATCAGTATGTTTGCATGTGACATTTGGGCTATTGAGTGATTATATGTGGTTGGGTGGGATTTTTCTCCTCCCCTTTCCTCCTCCTGGGTAGAGCACAAACCTGTCTACAATAATAGAAGATGATAGCAACCCACTATGTAGTAGATGCCCACAAGAAGAGAGATGTAGTGTGGAGGATCTGATTATTTTTCAGCTCTCACACACAGTGAAAAGACCACTACCTGGGTACTTTCTCCCTTTTCTTCTTCACTCCCTGAGAACTGGATGAAGCTGATAAAGCTTAAGGAACAATGAACCAGAACTCATAGATCTACAGGGCCAGGCAGGTAATGAGGGACATGGTCTGGGTATAAGCAAGGGGCAACAGTATTACAAGATATGTAGGAAATAGCACTGTTACTTTGGATTGAGGATGCAATAGACAGTGATGAAATAGAGCAGACTCCATTGAAAGGGGCCAGTCACTATTCAGTATCAGGTAAGTATTGCTATGAGGAAATATAGATACTTTATTTCCAGGTTTTTCCATGTTATTTTTTATTTTATTTTTTTGCACTTTGTTTTTAGAGTTGTGGGGTACATGTGAGGATTTGCTACATAAGTAAATTGCATGCAAGTAAAGTTTGGGCTTCTAGCCAGCCCTCTGTCCCACCGCCCCCAGTAGTGGATGTGGTATCCAATGGGTGACCGTGTGCCCCTTATCCCGTCTTCTTCCCTCCTCCTGTTAGTAATGCCCAGCTTCAGTTCAGATCTTTCCATGTTAAAAGAGAACGAACCGGGACATTTAAACATGGAAATGCTGTTGATTTTTTAAAATTCTTGGTAACTAAACCAACTTTTAAGATGATATGCTGTTGGGCAACCGAAAAAAGACTGCCAGCAGATTATGGCCTTGCGGCTAAAGGACCACAGAACTGTAGAGTCATTGGTGAGAGGAAGAAGATAATTAGCAGTCTAAGAGAGAAAGAGGGAATGAAAAAGTTAGAGAAACGGGACAAATGAGCTATCCAGAATCTCCCTTCTTCCCAGTGAACTCTGAAATGAATTGGAATGTAGGAACTGTTTAATTTGTGTATACGTGGCCAACTTAAAATAAGACCATTTGGTGGTATATATACCACGGAATACTATTCAGTCATAAAAGAAAATGAAATAAGGTATTTTGCAGCAATTTGGATGAAATTGGAGATCATCGTCCTAAGTGTAGTAATGCAGGAACGGAAAGCCACACATAGCATGTTCTCACTTATTGATGGAATCTAAGCTGAGGAACTGCAAAGGCGTATAGAATGGTGCAATGGACACTGGAGACTCAGAAGAGGGAGGGTTAGTCGAGGGGAGGGGTGAAAAGTCACCTATAGGGTACAATGTGCATAGGTGGGGGTGGAGGGTACACTCAAAGCCCAGACTTCTTCGCCACTATACAATGCATCCATGTAACCAAAAATCATTTGTACCTATGAAAGCTATTAAATTGGAAAAAAAAAAAAGACAATTTGAAGCAGGAATAGCCCCACATGGGGATATAGGTGTTGTTGAGTTTGCATAGGTTTGTATTTTACCAACCAAAGTGATCTCTTTTACTTTTCCAAACAATGTACAAGTATTATGATCTGGTTCTTTAATTTTGCATGAAAGGTATAACACATCTAGGTAAATAAGAGAATGAAGAAGTTTTCTAAATGTTTTAATTTTGGGGAGCACAAATATTTTGTACCGCTCAGCCTTTTCTTGCTGAAAAGAGGAGTGCTAGTGATTCATTTGTTAATAACATTTTTAAAAAAATGTGCTTTGGTGTATAGAGGTAACAATGTACTTCTTAGGTATGTGAATAATAAATTAAGGTTATAATGGTTGACATAATAGAGGAAATGAATAAGATTAGTCTCGGCAAAAGAAAAAAAATTAGTTTGGCAGTAGATAAATTAGGGATATAAAAATTGAAAAAAATTAGCTTCAGATAGCATTCTACAGTGTGTAATTTTTTATGAATAATATTCAATTTCAGGGTGTTAATACTTTGCATGGCACCTGACACATAGTAGTTATTCAGAAAATGCTTGTTGAATTTTATTATTTTTGATATAGTTATTTTCCTCAGTAATTTCTGTAACTCAGATAAATATAAAAATTTATGAGAGTATTCATTTTTTTTCTAACAAAAGTATGTTACCTAGAGAAAATATCAGCAGCAGTAGAGACAGAAAAATGAAAGTATATATGTTCTAAAAAGTGATTCCAACTCAGTTCATTTAGGGAAGAGTACTTTGACCTTGTCTGTGTTTATAGTCCCTGCTGACAATGGACTGTCAATATCTTCAGCCTCATTCTATTTCCTTATTTATTTTGGCTTTACAGAGATTAGATCTCAAGACACGAGACTCTCCATGGCTTCAGCTGCTAAACTTTTCCATCCTCCTTTTGCTCTTACCTGGCTCAGAAGGACATGCCAGGTGGTACATGATTGTTAAGAAAAAGGATCTGGGCTATGGAGTCTAGAGAAAACATTGGTCTCAGTGACTCTTTGGCTCTCAACTTTCCTAGTCTCAAGCAGCCTAGGGGCCTTTGAACAATTGTGTACTGATGATCTGTTTTAGGTCCTTGTGCTTTGCAAAGCTCCTTTCTCCCACTGGGACATTATTAGGACATAGCCAGACAGAAAGGCTGTGGGAAGCTTTGGAGGTAGGAGGATAGATCCAGATGGGATTGCAGTAAGAAGAAGGGAGTTCTCATTGGTGAACTCCATAGTCCAAAGGCAGCCCTGAGCAGATTCCATTTAGAAACCAAGGGTAGACTTTCTTCTTCGGGCCTTTGGCCCTTTTAGTTTCCCCAACTGGGGCCAGGATACGTATTATGAAAGAAACCAGCCTCAGATGTGTCTTCTCATTTCTTTCTCATCTAAACTTCAGCTTCCAGGCACCGCACTGTAGTTTTGAGTGGACTCTTGGGCTCTTCTGGGTTTTTATCAGTTGTCTTTGATTCCTCATTAGGGTGGCTGTCGTCAGTCTTCTCCTCCTTTACTACTTTGGTTTCAATCATTTCCTTCTGCTGACTCTTGTTTGTAAAAGGGAAGGCCTTCACATACCTGTAGGCATAAACATAAAATTAAAGTGAGAGACTCGATGTAGCACACATAACAGTAGATAACGCTTTTTGTTGTGTTGTTTTTGTTGCCACAGCACATATTGGCAGAGTACAACAGACACCTTTATTATAGGATGATGCTAGCACATGCATGCTCAAATATGTTAACCCAGCCCCACTTTAATGGATTTATTTAAGTCGGACAGTATGTTCACAGTCCAAACTTTAGGCTGACTTCACAACCTTCCACAAAAAACAAAGAACCAAAAATCAGATAAAGCATATACATTTTCCCCAGATCTTAATTTTTCTTTCTTTTCTTTTTTTTATTTCTATTTTTTTATTTTCAAAGGGATGGCCATTGACTGATATCTGAAGGCTGGATGGCATGCATGTGCTGAAATAGTATGACAGATTGGGTAGAAGGGAGGAGAGGTGAAATGAGGAAGAGATCTGCAATAGAAGAGGACTACCATCTCCAACAAATGTCAATAACAACTCTGGAAAAACACAAAGCAGGAATGTGACAATGATTTTAACATTAGTCCTGTGCCAACAACCCCACCTTTTGATGTAGCAAAATGCGAGACCAGCTGCAGCACCAAAGAAGAGGAGAGCAAGCACTAGCAGAGCTGTGGGAACACCTGAAAGAAACAGAGACATGGCCTGTTGGTTTTTCATGTAAACATTGTGTCAGGCTCATTTAATGATCCAGGTCACTGGGACAATAGACAGTGCAGGAGAAGAAACTTCTCTGTGACCTTTTATGAGGTCAGATCCCATCAGCTTCTTTACTTCTTGTCTAGAGAATCCTTGGCCTTGCCTCTCATGCTCTCCCTATTCTATAAGTTGCAGTATGACAGAGTTCATTGCCTCTCTGTGGCCTTGACACCCAATCTAGTCCACAAGTCTCCCTGAGAAAGAGATGCCCGGAATGGTGTCAGAGGCATTTAAGGTATATGTTTTAAAAAGAACTTCTGGGCGAGCATAGTGGCTCATGCCTGTAATTCCAACACTTTGGAAGGCCGAGGCGAGAGGATTGCCTGAGCCCTGGGGTTTGAGACCAGCCTGGGCAACTTGGTGAAACCTCGTCTCTACAACAAATCAAGAAAAATTTGTCAGTGTGGTGGCACATGCCTGTAGTTCCAGCTACTTAGGAGGCTGGGAAAGAAGGATTGCTCGAGCCCATCCGGTCAAGATGGCCATGAGCGTGCCACTGAACTCTAGCCTGGGCAACAAAGCAAGACCCTGACTCAAAAAGACAAAAACAAAAACAAACAAACAAAAACAAAACAAAGAGAAATTCTATGCAGTAATAGTAATTTATTTATATATTTTTGGAGTTGGTTGAGTTTTTATTTATTTAAAAAATTTTTATTTTAAAGATGTGGGGTACAATTCAGGGTTAGGTATACAAACGGTCATTGTGCAGGTAAAATTTGGGCCTCACTTTTGTCCCCACATCACCTGGTTTGAGATCAGGTGACCTTTACTGATGAAGCATGGCTCCCCTGCTCCCTCCCCTAATAGTAATTTATTTTTAAAAGTCTTTGAGTTTTCAACAGGAAAGCTCCTTTATACTCATGATTTTTAGCTTGATCACTAAGGTTCTTTATAGCTCTCAAGTTCTGTGACTTTATGAAAGTTGAGTTTGTGTTAAGCTTTTTTTTGTCCTGAGTGTCCAGTCTGGAGACAGGCTGGATTCTATTGTCTGTTACACAGAAACACACACACACACACACACACACACACACACACACACACACACACACACCACAGACACAGATAGCATTTACCTCCAAACCCAGCAGCTTCACTCTTGAAAGCTCTTTTATTTTCAACAAGTGGTTCTGTTTCTGTAGACATGGTGCTAGTTTCCATAAAAACATCTGTGACGCAAATCAATTTTTTTCTTCGTGGATTAGAAGTAGAAGCTGGAGCAGGAGTTGTCATAAGGGCCGGTGTCATAGAGTCAGGAGTTGATGCTGAGAGTGTACTGTCACTGACGGTAAGTTCTGTTGCTTGTGTTACAATTTGAATGTTGAATAAGGGCTCGTTGGTGGTGATACTTTCTGGAGCGCATGAGTTAATCCAAGTATCTGTTGGAAGAGGGAAATTATAAGTATTGCAACAGCCTCCTCACTGTTCTTCCTGCCTCTAGTCTTTCTACTCTCAAACCCCTTATGCCACAACAGAAATGTCCCTCCAAAACGCACATCTAGTCATATCACTCCCTTCCTTAGAATCCTTCAGTGACTGTCTCTACTGCCTACAAGGCCACCCATGATCTGGCCCTTGCTGACACTGCTAGCCTCATCTTCTCTCTATCATTGCCATATAGAAATCCCTTCAGTTCCTTGATAGGCTTCCTCTCACATTGGAGCCTTGCACCATGATGCTTTCTCCACCTTTAATACGCTTTGCCTCCTCTTTATTTAGCTGCTCTGACTCATTCTTCAGGTCTCAGATTGACCATCTCTTTCTCAAGCAGACTTGTTGACTAGATTGGGTCACTAGGCATATGTTTTTGTACCTCCATGTATGCCCCTTGTCACAGTTCTAATTATTACTCCCCACTGCACTGTGAGCTCCCAGGAAGTAGGGACCCTGACTGTCTTGTCATCATGGTATGTGCACTGTGCTTAGCACATCGTACATGCTCAGCAACGATGTGATGAGTAAGGAAGGAAGGGAAGGGAAAAGGAAGGAAGAAGGAGATGGGGAGACCAGTACCCACACGTGATGCCACCTCAACAAAACTCTGCTAGGATCAGACTTTTTTGTGCTCACCAAAAAAAAAAAGTGGAAAAAAAGTGGACTGGGACAGGGATGTGGGTCTGCTTTCCAATCTGTTGAATGTGGCAAAAAGGAAACTAACATTTGTTGAGCATCTTACTCTGAGTTAACTATGGCACTGGGTGTTTAAATAGATACCTCATTTAACAATTTTGTCAAATCCTCATTTACACAGGAGGAAGCTGAAGTTTGGAGAAATTGAATAACTTGTCCAAAGTCACATAGCTAGTAAATGGCAATGCCATACAATATATTATAATATGAATTTTATCTTTAAAAAAAATAGAAACAGGCTGTCTATAAAAAGAGACTGGCAACTCACTCTATTGCCCAGGCTGGAGGGCAGTTGTGCAATCATAGCTCACTCAGCCTTGAATTGCTGGGCTAAGTGATTCTCCTAGCTCAGCCTCCAGAGTAACTGGGACTACAAAGGCATGCCACCATGCCCATTTGATTTGTATCTATTTTGAATTCCTAATTATTTGTGGAATGTTAGCTATGAAGAAAACATTATTCCATTAAGTTGGTTCATTTTACCAATCAAGGTAATGGCTACTATTGAGAAAACATTTTGACTACACATGAACTAAGTCTGTTTTTGTACTATTCACTTTACTTTGAAAAGATCTGTATTCAAGTAGACATCATCCTTGACCTTCTGTGCTTTATCTTTTAACGAACTACATTTCTCATTCTTGAGCACATGCTAAGTTCTTCCTTCAGAAAAGTGAGCATTTTGAGTATAATGGGAAAAAAATATACTAAGCTCAACATACTATTTTGGAAACTGGAAATACAGAGACAAATAAGGCATGGTTCCTGCTGCCAGGAGGACAGAGGAAGCATTTTGCTAACGGTGGGTGAAGATCATTGGGATTCAGAGGAAGTGATACTTGGGCAGAGTATGGAGAATTAATGTGTTAATTCAACAAATATTTATGGAGCACCAGCTCTGTGCCAGGCATGGTTCTAGTTATTAGGGACATGGTACAAACAAGACAGAGTCCCTACCCTTAAGGGGCTTGCACACTATTGGAAGGATAGAGTTAATTTTTTTAAGAAGCCAGAAATTTCAGAGGATGATAAATGTTGAAAGGAAAATTAAACAGGATACGGATTAAACTGGTGAAGGTGAAGGATGGATGGTGGGAACTTTGGATAGGGTGACAAGAGGAGGTCTCTTGGGGAGGTGATACTTAAGCTGAGACCTGAATGATGGAAAGCAGCCAGTCATGGAAGGTCTAGGGCAAAACCATTTAAAGTAAAGAGAACACCAAGTTCAAAGTCAGAAGTTGAATGAACTCTGCCCGTTTGATGAGTAAGAGGGCCAGAAGGCTGAAACAGAGCCGTGGCTCATCTAGTACGGAAGAGGAAATAGGACATGCCAGTCAATAGGAGTAGCATGAACCAATAATCCAGAAGTTTGCAAGTGTAGGTATGATAGAAAAATGACAAGCAGCACAGTAGGCAATGTAGGACATGTGAGTGATTGGGGCAAGCAGGAGATGAGATTGGGAAGATAGGTTAGGAGCCAGAGTGTCAAGATCCATAATTGCCATGTTAAGGAATTTGGAGTTTATTCTGCAGGAGAGGGAATTTTCCACTGGGGCCCACAAATCTCCCAAATTATTTACAAAAGCGCTCATACATGACATCCATTGTACATCATATTCTCAAATGGAAAGTCATCCAACACTATGGAGCAGAGGAATGAAATGATCATCAATGGCGTGTGTGGGAATGAAATGCAGAGGGAAGAGAGCCCAACGCAGGAGTAAAGAAGGGAGTTGTTCCAATTGCAGAGAGATAGAATCCAGAAATGTCTCAAATCCTGAAACTTTGATCTTAGAGATCTTCTAGGGAGAAGTGATTCTCAACCCTGGCTTCAGGGTAGAATCATCTGGGAAGCTTCTAAAAAATATTGATGCCCAGGACCTACCCCAGGCCTTGTGTGTTATTGATGTGTGGTTATAATCATGGAAGGCGCTACACTGAAACTGCATGGCTCAATACAGTTAGCTCAAGATTTAAATCCCAGCTCTGTCCCTTATTAACTGTGATTACAGGCAACACACTTAAGCATCAATTATTTCTCCTGAAAGTGGACATAATACATGAGTGTCATTTTACTGAGGACTAATGAGATAGTAAATGTCTAGGACCTAGCGTAATGTCTGGGCCTGATGATAAGATCTGCAAGAATTCGTTTTCTTGGTCTCTCTGTTCATATATGTGGCTGAGAAGGACACAGTATGAGGGATGACAGCAATCTGGTCCTGTAGTCCTTAGCTAGTCAAGGGCACAGTGTATCTCACCTGGAAGTGTTTGGGCCTGGTTCTCCTTGCCCTCCAAACCACAGACATAATTTCTCTAGAATATACCAAGTGATATGATAGATATTAAGCACAGAATATAGTTTGTGGTTTGGATCCAAGGGATAGTTAGAGTAAAGGGTATGGAAAGGTTTCAGGAGAGATGGCACTTGAAATTTGAATAAAGAGTAGGAGTTGGCTGGTGATAAAGAGGATGGGCATGGTAACAGAGCAAACGGCATGAAACAAATGGTGTGTGTAGAGCATTAACGGCAATTTGGTCTGGTCCTCAAACCTCACAGAGGTAGCGATAAAAAAAATAAAATTAATATTGGGGGGTTTCTTTGATCCCCAAGTCTTATAAGGATAGCAGTAAGAAAGACAATTAGGATAAGGTTTAGAGTCAGAGTTATGTTTACTCTGATCCTCAAACCTAATATGATAGCAATATAAAAGGAAATTACACAAACAAAGAAAATTAGGGTAAGGTTAGGAGTAGTATTAGGTTGAGGGTTAAGGAAGTTTGACTCTCGCCAAGATTTCAATACCACACCTCTTTAGATACAAAGCAACACAGAATGATAAACCAGGAATGAATAAAAATGGTGGGCAGAAATGGAATGGATGGGAGTAAGACTTCTCCAAATATACTTTTTGAAAAGTATGTCTTAAGCTGGGCTCGGTGGCTCAGCCTGTAATCCCGCACCTTTGGGAGGCTGAGGTGAGTAGATTGCCTGAGCCCGCAGGTTCGAGACCCGCCTGGGCAGCGAGACCTCATCGCTACAATAAATCAAAAAATCAGCCGGGCGTGGTAGCGCATGCCTGTAATTCCGGCTACTTGGAAGGCTGAGGCGGAAGGATCGCCGAAGCCCAGCAGGTTGAGGCTGCGGTGGCCGGGAGCGGCCACTGCATTCCAGTCTGGGCGACAGAGTGAGACTCCAACTCAAAATAAATGAATAAATAAATAAATAATAAATAAAAAGTATGTCTTGGACCACTGAACCATGCAAATTTTTTAGCTATTCAAAAAATAATAATAGGACAAAATCAAACCCTAAAATTGGTCACACACAGAAACAAATGAACCTAAATTGTTTCAAAATAATAATATAACCACACAGAGTAGCAAAAATTTTAAAGTCAATTTGCACACAATTCTTTGATTGCAAATCCTTAGAGGGATATCTTCTAAGTACTAAAAGATATGCAAAGAAATCTAAAATTTTATTCAGTAGGTTTATTTTCCTAATAATGTTAGTTTTATAATATTGAAATTGTTGTTGGATAAAAAAATATATTAATATTATTTATTGGGAACTAAGATATCCATTATAAAAGAGATAAAAATATTTTAAAAGGACACTAAGAGAAAACTTGAATTGTTAAATTTGAGTTGGAAATACAAATATAAACTCATCTACATATATGTGTGTGTGTGTATTTATATATATATTTTCTAGCTGTCCACCGAAAAAGACTGAGAAGCAGTGAAAACTCCAGTAATAATGAGAACAACTTGCATCCAAATGTTGGTTCCCGATGAACATTCCCCATTAAAACAAACAAGAACAAACAGATTTAAAAAAAACAAAAACCCAGGACTCACTGGAGAAATAAGTGACTGATTCCATGTCAAGGACAGAGAGTACAAAGTGAACCTGGGACATGTCATTATTCTAGAAAACAAGAAATTTCCCAGAAAATGATGGGATAAAGCAGGGGTCCCTAACTCCTGGGCCATCGACTAGTACCAGTCTGTGGCCTGTTGGGAGCTGGACCACACAGCAGGAGGAGTGGTAGACGAGCAAGAGAAGCTTCATCTATATTTACAGCTACACCCTATTGCTCACATTATTGCTTGAGCTCCAAATTCTGTCAGATCAGTGGTGGCATTAGATTCTCATAGGAGTGCAAAACCTATTGTGAACTGTGCATGTGAGGGATCTAGATTGTGTACTTCTTATGAGAATCTAAAACCTGATGATCTGAGGTGGAGCTGAGGCAGTGATGCTAGTGTTGGGGAGCGAATGTAAATACAGATTAACATTAGCAGTGAGGTCTGACTGCACAGGGACCATAATAAATCAATTGCTTGCAGACTCAGGTCAAAACCCTATCAGTGAGTGGCAAGTGAGTTGATGTACTTCAATTATACAACTGCATTTGGTGGCAGGCTTTAAGTCACAATCCAACACTTATTTTAGTCTGTACATGGCCTGCCCATTATTTTATTTACCACTTTCATCCACGCCTCTTTTTTGAAAAAAAGGTGAGTTGTATAATTATTTAATTATTTCAGTCTAGCAATAATAGAAATAAAGTGCACAATAAATATTAGGCACTTGAATCATCCTGAAACCTCCTACTCTGCCCCCAGTCCATGGAAAAATTGTCTACCATGAAACTGTTCCCTGATGCCAAAAACATTGGGGACTGCTGGGATAAAGGACACAAAAGTAAACTAGAAGAAGCTCCCACTTGCCAGATATGGGACAATTTAAGAATCCAAACGAATAAAAGACTAATAGTTGTAAAACTGATTTGAAAATATTGAATACATTGAATACATTGAATAAATAAAATGTGCCCATGGCAGTATGAGAGGGAGGGAGAAGGGGGGAGAGAGAGAGGAGGAGGAGAAGAAGAAGAAGAAGAAGAAGAAGAGGAGGAGGAGGAAGAGGAGGAAGAGGAGGAGGAGGAGGAGGAGGAGGATAGGAGGAGAGGGAAGGAGATAGGGATTTTCTTTATTAAAGGTGCCAACTAATAAATGTAAAAGAAAGGATAGATTTAGAAAAAACACTATTTCTTAGTCCACCATATACTAACTAATTCCAGTAAGGATCATCAATGGCTGAACAATGGCAGAAACAACTAGGTGAAAGGTAGTTGGGGACCAACATATTTTCATGGTGTCAAAATATCACATTATAGATTAACTACTAATTGCCAAGGGCATATTGTTATAGTTCTGTTAGAGTGGTAGACACCACTTTACTCAAATAATCAAAGTTAACATAATTAATAGTGGAACATATTGACATTAAGTGCCTTTGTTTGATGTACACAATCCAAGGTATACAATATCATCTAGGATGCATTTGTGCCAAAAATGTTGATTTTGAATCTAATCAAGCCTCTAGACCTAACTTTTGGTACATAGAAGTACAAGGACTGGAAATACAAGTTAAATGAAACTATGAGGAAAGAGACAAATTCAAGTTCTCTTCCCTGGCTCTTTTTTGTGTAGTCCAGAGGACTAGGTATCATGTCATCACATTGACAGCTGGCAAAAAGGCTAGGCAGTTAAAAGGCAAGGCTGTTTGACAGGCACATGCTGGCTATTGGATAAGCAGGCATATGGACCAACAACTCCCCAGCCAAAGATGAAAGGCCAGAGGGGCAGAGAAGGGAAGGAAGATGGTGAAAAAAATGATGGAAGAAGCTCTATGTTGCAGTCTTGACTCTGCCACTAATTGATTGTAGGATCTTGAACAAGCTAAACTCCCATTCTGAATTATCATTGTTTCATCCATGAAGTGAGGGAATTCGACTACATATATATATATATTGAGTTGGAGTTTCACTCTGTCACCTAGGCTGGAGTGCTGTGGCATGCTCACAGCCACCACAGCCTTGACCTGCTGGGCTCAGGCGATCCTTCCACCTCAGCCTTCCAAGTAGCTGGAACAACAGGCGCATGCTACCATGCCTGACTAATTTTTTGATTTATTGTAGAGACATGGTCTCATCAAGTTGCCCAGACTGGTCTCCAACCCCTGAGCTTAGGCAATCCACTCTCCTCGGCCTCCCAAAGTGCTGGGATTACAGGCTTGAGTCACTGCTTCCGGACTGGACAAAATATTTCTAAGGGCCTTTTCTATGCCAAAGCCCTCGGGTCTAGGGAACTGCTTGGATCCTACATTGCCTTTCTAGGATGGTTTTTGCTAATGTTGACCTGTGAACATTTATCTCATGGATCTCAGAGAATGATTTTGAAATCTATCCTGTGTGTGACCACTCAGTCACTTAACCTTCAGAAGGTCAGATATGTGAGTATGTGTGAAGAATAATAAATCAGACAGGAGTTCTTATGACAAACTGAGAACAAGTGAGTATTTAGTAAAAGAAAAACTTTCTGAGAAATTACTTAGATAAAACCCTTGGGCTGAGGCAGCCAAGGTCTCCAAGCAAGGTTAATGGGGTGACTACATGACCATGAGCAAATCAGTTCTACTCTCTAGGCTTCAACTCCTTCCTTCATAAAATGGAGATTGAATCTTGTTCTTTAAAATGTCAAACGTAGTGCTACTCATTGAAATTGGACTGTATAAAAAAAAAGTGTGGTACATATACACAATGGAATATTATGCAGCCACAAAGCAAACATTTGGACTTTGCAGCAACTTGGAAGGATTTAGAGTCTGTCATACTCAGCAGCAACTTGGATGGATTTAGAGTCTATCATACTTAGTGACCTATCACAGAAACAAAGAACAGAGTACCATATGTTCTCACTCATAAGAGGACCTTGAATAATTATTATAATACTATAAGAAAGGGATTGGCAGTAGTGGGAAACTGCCAGGGGAGGGTGGGAATGGGTTTGGCAGCAGTGGGAAACTGCCGGGGGGCGGGGAGGGGGCACATCTTATCAACAAGGGTACCTGCATAATGAACATCTGTATACCTAACCCTGAATTGTATGCCACATCTTTAAAATTAGAAATTAAAAAATGTCAAATGTAGCAGATGAATTTCCTCTCTTATAAAGGAATGTAGGACAGAGGGAAGAGCATGGTTTCATAGTTGGACCTGAGTTTGACCCTTTCTGGTAATAAGCCCTTAGAAAAATGTACTTATGTCCCCTGAGCTAAGTTTCTTTGTCTGTAGAATGGGGATGATAAATCACACCTCATAGGAAGTTGTCAAGCTTCGGTGAGATGACCTAGGACAGTAGACCCTTCCTATTGGGGAGGGTTCCGCATAGGCAGATTCAACCAACCATGGGTTGAAAATATTTGACAAAAAAAGAAAAATAACAATATAAAATAATACAAGTAAACCATATAGTTTAACAACTATTTACATAGTATTTACACTGTATTAGATATTATAAATAATCTAGAGATGACTTGAAGTATATGGGAGGATATGTGTAGGTTATGTGCAAATTCTACACCATTTTATATCAGGGACTTGAGCATCTGTGGATTTTGGTATCCGAGGGGGTCCTGGAACCAATCCTCCACAGATACCGAGGGACAACTGTACATTGCTTTGTCTGTAGTGAATGCATTACATACATGTGTACATTGGTTCCTTCCCTTTTTCCTGTTTCTCTTATAGAATGCAGGGATAATGACATTGGTAACTGAACCTTGGGAATGCCTTCTCTCCATTCAATCATCATTTTCCTAACTTTTTCCTTTAAAGGGCATGATGCCTCCTCTAGCCTAGTCAGAGAGACAATTTTGGGAGAGTTAGATGACTGTCGCCATGATTGCTTCTGCTGCTGCTCAGGGTTATTCTTCCTGGACAGGTCACAGAGCTAGAGATACCCAGAGGAAACATGCCATGTGGAAAGGCTGCATATTTGACTCACCGGATGAGTTGTAACAATAGGCTGCGTACAGTTTATTAAATGGAACTCTCCAAACTAGGATGCCTGTCCCATTCTTCCCACACTTCAGGTTGGGGAGAATCCGAGGGATGACCAAGAATCCGTCTCCAACCCATCCATAGCTGTAAAATAATACACATTAATTGAATGGACAAATGATTAGAAGGCATCATCTCTACTGCTGAACAAAAACATGAGCCAAAAGAGCTCCGGCAGTGATAGTGAATCCAACTGTTTCTCACCTGCAAGTTTCGAAGCCAGCCTTCAGTGCCGCTTCAACCTGGTCTCTGCTGGCCAGAGTTAGTCCCAGCACCTTACAGGCCTCCTTGGCTTCTGTGAAATTCAGCTGTGGGTTGACCTTTTTGTTGACAAGGGTGATCCCCATAATTCTGCATGGCCCCAAGGTGGAAAGTTCTGCAAAAGAATCACAGAAGTCCTCTGTTTGCTGCTCTTTGTCCCCAGCCTTAGGTTCTCCTTCCTAGCAGAACGTTATTGTCTTGACTCAGCGGTGAGGTCTGTCCAGATGGGATTGGAATTTACAACAGGACATAGCCTAGGCATTTCCCACAAGGACAGCCTACTGGGCTAGATGGATGCTTGCTTCAGTCGGAGCTGTAAATCTCCCCTGATTGAAGTCCATCTGGTGCCACTGCATTAAGGTGTCTTGCTCATCACATGGGGGCTTTGGCTACCAGGGGCGGAGTCTAGGTCATGTGGTTGCTGCACATGACCTTTTTGGAGGCTGTTAAATGAAGCATCTGAGACTTTGAGAAAGATAGAATTCAGGGCTCTGGGTAATAGAATAGTTAGCAATACTCTGAACCAATGTGGTTTGAGGACACCACTATTTCTGTGAAGGGCTGAATATGGCGCACTTGTTATAGCAATGTGAGTGCTCTCAGGTCTTCTCTGACCATCGGGGGGCAGGCTTACTCAAAAGTTTCTGGAGGAGCAGGGCAGTAAACCCTGCATAGCCGAGAAACTAAATAAAGGAAGTAGAAATTTAGTGTCAGAACTGGTCTTAGATCTAGCCTGTGTTACTTGACCTTAGACTAAATACTTCATTTCTTTGAGCCTTAGTTCTCTTACTTATAAAATCAAGAAAGTAGCAGTATCTACTGCATAAGATAGTGAAAGTTAAATGAGTAAATTATAACAAAGAGGGTGCCTGCCACATAGTGGGTGCTCAATAAATCATAAACAACATATTATCATTGTTATCTTTAAAGCATTTTGGTTTTAGTCTGCTAATGATTGATTTCCCTGGGGAAGCTGAGGCAGTTAAACAGGTTAGATGTGAATAATATTTCTATTCAAAATCTAATGAGTCTGAGAGTTCTTTTGATCCCTTTCCTCTGGGCTCTGGGATTTACAGACCTGTATGAAATTGCCAAGTTGCATTATATTCAAGTACATTATTCCTATTGGGCTTTATCTGTGAAAGTCGTAAAAAGGCATTTACGTTTCCCAAGTAATTACTGGTACACAGTTCTGTGTACTGGATGCCCAGTCAATGTTTTGATCACTTTCTAGGTTGACATTTGAAGGATCTTTCTTCTTGCAAACATGGCAGGAGCATATCTGTGTCCTCCATGTGAAACTTGCGGTGTTTTGGAGCGGGGCTGGGGGAAGAGATGTGCATACGATATATGGTATTTGTGGATGGTTAGTTTGCTTCTAGACCCTGCTCTCATCAAGAAAAACCAGAGTTACCATACCAATGAGTGTTTGCAAATGGGGTGACAGAGCAGCTTCTTATGACTGTATGCTAATACCTATGCCAATACTGATAGTTGGTATTAATAGTAACACCAATTGCAATTTAAACACCTATCGCTGTTGATGTTATTCTATGCTAAACCTTGTCTCTTTAAGGGGACAATCGAGGCTCAGAAATATTAAGTAACTTTTGCAAGACCAAAGACATGGGGCAACAAGGTGGCAGATTGGGGGTACAAATCAAATTATGACTGACTCTAAAGCCTCAATTCCCTTCCTTCCTTCCTTCCTTCCTTCCTTCCTTCCTTCCTTCCTTCCTTCCTTCCT